AAATACATATTTTAGAAGAATATATGTACTTAAGGAAGAAATCAAGAAAATTATGGCAGAAATAATAATCAATTATGTATTTGATATGCAAAAGAAGAAAAGTCTAAAGAAAATATTAGAGACAAGATAGCATAAACATTTTTAAATATCTGAATATTTAAATAAACAAAAATATATATATATGACATATAAGTGTCAGAGAGAAATTATTTAGAATATGTAATATGAGCTCTTGATGTCCCATGAGTTAAACTTTGAAAAGACTGTAAGAGTAGAGACAAATCATTATACATATATAGTTTTACACACATATATATATACACACACAGCATAGTCATTTTATGTGTATACGTGTGAAAAAAATGTAAAGTCTTACAAATTAGTTGTCTAATGATAATGGATGTGACAGGTGTGGTGATGCATACCTGTAATCCTAGCAACTCGGGAAATTGAGGTAGGATGATGGCAAGTTTGAGGGCAGCCTCACAATTTAGCAAGAACCCATCTCAAAGTAAAAACTCAAAAGGACTGGGGATGTTGCTGAATCCTGAAGTGCCCCTGGGTTCATTCCCTAGCTGGCAAAAAACAAATGAAAAAGGATAGATATATTCACACTTTTGTATTTCTCCAAATTTTCTACAATAAAAATGGAGTAATTTTATAGTTCAGAAATAACCACAAATAGTTTTTTATAAAAAATGATACACTGTTACATGGCTCATGGTTAAAAATGAAGAATTTATACTGACAGAATCATGATGGATGCAAGGTAATTTTCTTTAAAGGTCAATTTACTTATTCATTTATATTCAATTAGAGCTTATTGAAATTTAGGTTACCTTGACCATGTAAAGGATCTGTCTGAGGAATGTGTGTTCTTCCTAGTAGTCTTTGCCAAAAGATTTCCTTCTCTGTATGCCAAGCCTGGGAAACTCATAAATTATATGTACATGAACCATCTAATTTTTTTCCTCTGCCTTCACTTTTATAATTTTCTTCCCTGTACTTTTTAAATTCTCATCCCAAACTATTTTTTTTCAATCAATCTAAACTGAAAGGAAAATAAAAAGAGAAATGCTGAGAAAGAAATTTTGGCCCAAAATACATATTTTTTGTGTAGTTTAGGCATCTGAAAACTGAAGGTATTCATTAAGTGAAGCTTGAGGCAGGTGCCAGTCAAGATATCTTCATTCTTGATCATTATCAATGGTTCCCAGGGCAATAGACAGGACTCCACTGAAAACAAAGGCTTCACAGAAATACATGTGTAACCTTGAAACGCTCGGGGAACATTGTGAATATACTCTTTACATTTTTTTTTTCCATTTCTATTTCAAAAATACCACAACCACACCATTACCCTTGAGAGACAAAGACCAAAGGCACAATACAGAATTGTTGATTAACTGGCAGCCCTTGGGGATCCAGGATAGGTGCCATGGACACTTCAGGCAGCTAAATAAAGAGCAACTTCACCAGGAGCATTTCTTTAGGACTGTCACCAGTCTTCAAATACTCTTCAACTTGATTAACAAAGTCACTTTCTGCCAGAAATCTTGTCAAGGCATCTTGGCTATACCTGGATTGCCTGTGAATTTTGATGAACAACAAAGAAAAATGAAACAAGTGGGACAAGAACAAAGTTATTGAATTTTGCCCACTTCACATTTTTGACACTTTTTGAAACTATTGTTTCCAGAAACCACTTTTAAAGTATTATAAGAAACATTGGTCTTAAGTTTCTGGTTTGTTACCCTCTGCTTTTATTTTTCATGAGCATTTATTGAGGTGAGAAAGCTTCTCTTAATTCTCTCATTTTTGTTATGTGTAATTATATAACTTTTTTTTCAGATTCAGGCTTAACTCCTAGCTGAGGAAGTAGAGACTGGATCTCATGTTGCCTCCTATCCCCAGAGGGCCAGCAGAGTGCAAGGAGGAACAGAAATCCATGAAACAGTGGCTGATTGTTTGACTAATGGAATATGAAATTGAGGAATATCAGTATATTACACAAGATTTTGTTATTACAGGCAAATATTAATATAAGAGGAAAAGAATTAAGATAATTTAAGATGAATGAACATCCCTTCTTTTTGGATAGACTTATAGACTATAGTTTCCACTGTTAATTTAGCTATTCCTGAGCAACCACAGCAACAACACATTACCATAAAACAGTTAAGTAGCATCAGTATTTGCAAACTTAGGCTAGTTCAGGTGCTACTTTTATTGAAGTGCCTTTACCTAAGTTTTGTCTAAAATTCATTACTTTGACCTCAAAAGTTTCTGATCTTTTCAAATTTGTATTCAAATGCTATCAGCATGAATTAAAAGTTGTAAAGGAGCAGAGAGGCTAGAGGCGGTGTTTAGACCATAGAAGTACACTATTTCCAATGCAAGTATTTTGTCGCATCTAAGAGGAAGTAGGAAGCAGGACCATGAAATTTTGCTAACGTATTGTAAAAAGAGATTGATGACCCAGTAACGGGATAATAGCATACACCCGGTGTTCTTTGTTGCTTCCTCTTCCATGGATGGCTGAACTGCCTTATTCATTGTCATCAATAAATATTTATTTGACATCCATAAGTTACCTGACATGTAGATTAAAACTTGGATTCAGACAGCTTGAATGTGCCTAATACCCCCATAGGATTTAAAATAATTTCCAAAAAAGTCTGATGTAAATATTATAATTATCTCATTGTTAGCCAATATGTGCATTTTAATTCCATATTTCAGTCATTTGGTCTAGTATAATAAAGTTTAGACTGAATGGAGAGGAAAAGAGACAAATATTCAGGAAACATATATCTAACATGTACCTCGCTAGGAATATAAATAATAAGAGTCCCTTCCATATCAGCTCCTCTTTATAACTCTTTAAGAGTGTTTTTGTTTAAAATAAACCCAGGGACTATGGGCAAAATACTGCTCTCCCAGAAAGTGGGAAAAATGCACGGGCATCCACACGTAGTGGGCGATCCCTGAAAAAACACATTTTTGTTTAGGTCAAGTTAGAATTTACTCTTGTCCCAATCATTGTACAAGATAATGGAATTGTTAAATTTGCAGCTGCATTGTTTTAATTATTTCTTCTTTCACTCATTATTGAATGATACTTAACTCTCATAAGAGTAATTTGAGCAAAAAATTCTCTTTGCTTTACATTCAGCTGAGCCCGGCTGCTTGATAATGAGTAAATAAACCATTTAGCACTTTAATCAGTGTTGTTATACACCTGAAAACTGCTATGTAAACATCTCTATGCTCTGCTACATATGTCACTTTCATTTTCTATAGGAATTGTTTAATTAGATTGGCATGTGAGAAAAAAAATCTGTAGACCATTTTCTTTGATAAAGCATGAACTAGTCATTAGCATTACTTCTTCCTGACTGGGGAAGAGACTGTATATAAGATGAGGATGAATGAAATATAGATTGAGAAAGCAAAATCAAAAGAATAACAGAGTCTGACACAGTTCTGAATAAAATGGGAAAACGTTGCAGTTATTGTGCCAAAGTAAAACATGGGAAGCAGGTTTTTCATTTGCAGGTGATTCATTAGATGGAAGGGACTTTTCCCTTTCTTTGAGAAATCCTATTAGCAGGATTGAATATCACAGCTGAATATAGGCAGCTTTATTTTCAGTATTCTATACTAAGCCAGAATTATTTCATTTTCAAAAATTATTATTAATTTAGGGAAGATTAGTGACAGTGATGAAAGAATGAGTAAAAGTCTACTAATTGGAACTAATTAGGAATTAAGAATGATATATTGATAATATAATGGCAAAAGTACAATTACCATGTATCAATAGTGGCTTACTGCAACACAGTCAAAGGTTAAATTCTGTTGTGTTTACTATTTCTCTTTTTGCCATGATTATATTTAACTTAAAAACTAGTACATATTATGTTTTAATACTTTTTTTTTCTTTTCATAATTTAGAAATGTATTCACAGGGCATGGATTAGGTAAAGATAGCAATACACTCTGAGTCTTCCAAGGACAGGTGAAATGAAAATAACAATTTTTTTCATTCAATGAAATAAAATATGAAGCTCAGAAAATTAATAGATAATTCAACTCTTTTAGTTGAAAAGTGCATTGGAATTTCATTCATTAAATTATTACTGCAAGGATTTATTCAAAGAGTACCCTTCTGAAAAATTGGATCTCTGTGGGTTGCACATACACATCTTTTCTACCAGTGTAATTTACATTGATTAAAACTGGGTACATTTTATGCTTTATGCTGCTGAATTTTTATGGTTTTGAAGCCAAAGTCCAATTTCCTTGGAAATAACATTTTAGGGAAAATGCTGGTTAAGCAGAGATTCTAATTACCACTTGTTCCTTACTTCTTTCTGGAAAAACAACAATAACCAAATAGCACAAACTCCATTTAGTAGAACAGGTCACATCAACAACAGCCATTTAAATGAGTCAGAAAACTTTTATACCTGTGGGGCACGACCACTTATCATGAAGGTGCAGCTACCACCACATGGGGACTGTGTGAGGGTGAAATGCACCTGCACATTCAGTCTTCATGCCTTCTGGGCTATATGTTTGATAATGAATGATGCCCTTACCTACAATCACAGAGATCATTCCTTTAAAGTAAATTAATCTTGACTATATGGGTCAATTTCTTATACACATACATCTTTAAAATTAGTAAAGAGCTTAGCTTTACTCTCAATGTATTTTCTCTTTCCTTGTATATCAATGTAGAACTATAGAATTGTGAATTCTGACATTATAGACTAAATATTCAAATACTCTTTTGTTTTCACTGATTTTGAGGAAATATTTTAGGCTTATGATGGAAAAACACCTGTGTTGAATTGTACCTCTTTGAATAACATTGGAATTATAACTTAATTATAACCTTAGGGAGCTTTAGTTTCCTAATATTTTGTTGGAATAATAGTGCCACTCTTATACTGATGTTATGCCCTTTAGAAAACCATAGGTTCACCTTTCATCTTCAGAAAACCAGAGGTTCACCACTACCAATCTGCCAGTGGATGATTTCAGATGAAAAATATTTTTAAGTCTCTCATATAACAAGCCTTCAGTAAATGGTCGCTATTAAACAGAGATCTCTCGCTATTGCATATTTTTAAGAAAAAAATTCTCAAAACATTTCCAAATTTAGGACATTCCAAGATGTCTTTCAAAGTACATATTAGATTCTGAGAATCAAATAGTAACTCAAAGCCTATTGCCCCCCTTCCCAGGCAGTTGAGGATTTGGGGAGTGAGCAGGGCTCCTCCCTATACCTGCAACTAGCCTATGAACAATAACACCTGAACTCTGTGGTTAGGTCAGAGAATTAGGGCAAGGGGGAGCTTTTCATTTGTCCTTATCAACACTGTCCTTGCTCAAAACAGAAACATACTCAAGGCAACAAACACTACAATGTTTGCTGGGAGAATGGATATGAAACAAAAGAGGTGTGCTGGTTGCCCTTAACTCACAGACAAGTGTGTGTGTGTGTGTGTGTGTGTGTGTGTGTGTGTGTGTGTTTTAACTAAAAGAGGTAATAAAAAATCTTAAGGAAGCACTTTAAATATATTTGAAACATCATTTATAAGTAGAAATATTCATGTCTAGAGGGATTGAAGCTACCTGTGATAATAATTCTCTTTTGTTGTTTGTAGATGCTAATTTGTTACTGCAGTTCTTACTTAAAATTGTTCTCATAATCTCAAAGTTTTATTTTTATTAAACTAGAGTGAAGCATCAAGCATTTCCCTCCCTATTTGCCTCTCTGGATATTTCTTACAAAGTCCTAAGCTCAGTAGACTGTCACTACATGCTTAGAAATTACCTCATTTGTGTCACTTAATCTTCATTGCCATAGCAATTTTTGATTATAAACAACATTATGGAATTACATTTTTTTGTACTCCCAGAGTGCATTCCTGCCCTAAATATTTTTAAATTTCAAAATGTGTGTATTCGTCCTGGGATTATGGAGACTGAAAATGATCCAAGACAGATCTGAGACTCAAAGTCTCTGCCACCAGTCTGTTCATCACTGAGCTTGTCCATTCATGGCTGTTGACTTTCAGAACCCTGCACATTTAGACTTGGCTCTACTTTTGGACCATTGAAGCTGCTAATAAGGCAGCGCTCACCCCTGTCTCCTCTCCATGTGTTTCATTTCCACTTGTATCTAAAATAAAAGTAAAAGATTTTTTTTCAGTGCCTTTATCCTAGTTGTGGCAAAGAGTGAGGGTTCAGTAGGTATTTATTAATAGCCCATCTTCTTCCTGAGTGATCTATTCTTCTTCTCTATGGTGGTTTTATAAATTTCTACTGACACATTCATATCCCTTTCATTTCCTTCATTTTGTTCTTCTAAAACATTCTTTTTCTATATTGGTGGGCAATAATGGTTGTTATAAAAAGCTGAAATTAAAAATTGGACTTAAAAGGGGGAAGAATTATAAATGAAAATGTGACTTTTCTATTAGGAAGTTTATTCACTTAAATTTCTTTTGAAGCTGTGGTGGAGAAATACAGACTACTAGCATCTACCATAGTAATGTGTATATAAACTATGAATGATTCTATAAATTGGATAAAACGGAATCCATTTTTTTTTAACAGGAATCCCATTTCATTGAGGAAAATCTTTTAGAAACAGCTTGGGAATAGACTATTATATTTGATATGAATAAATATCAACAGAAATATGAGCAACCAGCATTAATAGATTTCAATTATTTTATCTGGGATGAAAAAAGAATCATTTTCTGGTTTTGGTCCAAGAAGGAAATTTAAGAAAGAATAAAGGAAAAAAATCCTATGTGGGTGGTGTTTATGTGAAATGATGAGTCAAAATAAAAGGTTGTGGTTGTGTGACCAAGAGACATTTTAAGAATGAAATATAAATTATACTAGTGCCTAATATGAAATAATATGTACTATTTTTACATAAATACCTATTTATTATCCTATTAAGCCTACCTTATTTTTAATGTAATTTATTTAGTTCATTATGTGAATATATTTTATGGAACTAAGAGTTGAAGGTACGTATCTGAATCAATGGCATCTAGAGAGACAATAGATCCCAAAAGAAGACTTAGAGCTTGTATCAGACATATTCGGCTGTATTTAAATAGAAAGACAGAACCCATTTAACATCTGGTTTCTACTCACCTGAGGCCAAACTGGGAGATTATATGCAAAGAGAACTTTTCTAGTTGTACTCACTGCTGAGAATTTTAATTTTCACTTTTTTCTCTATGTCATAAATATATGCTCCCAGAAATTAAAAAAAAGAAGAAGAATTACTGTACCAACTATTCCTCAATGTTAATCATTAGGTACCAATTTTATGAATTATATCTTATTCAATTACTGCAAAACCCAAATTAGATAACAATTTCTTCCCGTGACTGACTATAATATGCAAAATTATTGGCCTTTTTCCAATAGTTGTTTACTTAATATTTGATTTTGCCAGAAGAGAATTCATTTAATTGTACTAGTCACTAATTTCTGCAATAAAAAAAAATGTAGGCTAAAACAATAGACTTTTATTATCTCACAGTTTCTGTAGGTTGGAACATAGCTGGGCTTCTCTACATCAGGGTTCTCATAGTGTTGCGTTTAAGCTATTAGTCTGAGCTGCTGTCTCTTCTGAAGATTTGACTAGCAGAAGATTTTATTCCAAATTCAATCATATGGTTGTTTTAAGGATTCAGTTCCCAAGAACCAAGGCCTCAAAACCTCACTGGCAGTTTCTGAAGATCCAGCTTTTTCATTTAACAAGTTCTAGTTGAAAGCTGGCCTCTTTCGGAATGAGCCAGTGAGAGGGGAAGTGAGGACACTCATGACAAAGACCAGGATGCTTTTGTAACTTTGTGTCAGAAGTGACATTCCTTCACTTTTGTGGTATTCTATTCCTCATAAGTGAGTCAACTAAACTCAGCCTGCTCTGAAACAGAGAAGACTGCACATGGTCCTGAACACCAGGTGGGACTTTGATTAGTGGTCATGTTGGAGGTTGCCTATGAGACAGGAAAATGGGAAACATTTGTATTGGATGCAATGTGTCTCCAAAGATTCACATTTAGTATAGTATCAAATGTAAATTGAAATAATTGAGTTGAATTAATTTTGATGTACTATAATATTGTTTAAGACTTTTTTTTCAAATACAAGAGAGTAAAAATACCTAATGATAAAAGATTCAATAATTTGATTCCTAAATTCATACATTAATACTGCTAATTAGTGTAATTTATGTTATGAAATTTATATTCTATCTTTGTATCTAATGATTCCATTGCATAAAATATGATATTTGAAAAGATGCTAAAATATTAGATTGGTAATTTCATTCAATACATAATATTGTGTTTTATGAAAATTATATGAATCTTTTTGTGTGCATGTGGTACTGAGGATTGAACCCAGGATTGCTCTACTACTGAATTATATAACTAGCCCTTTAAATTTTTATTCTGAGACAGAGTCTCACTAATTGCCCAGGGTGGCCTTGAACTTGTGAACCTCGTGCCTCAGCCTCCCCTGTCACTGTGATTACAGGCATGTGTTTTGGGGATGAAATTATATAAATCTTATGTGAAGCAGTAAATACTTTATCTATAAAATGAATAACTAAAACAATTATTTTGATCTCTGACATGTTCTCAGTCTAATTCTATTTATGTAAACACTAAATCTCTCAGGGCTGCCTTTGGCATGTGAAACACAGTAATCTATATATCTGTCTCAATTTCATACAAAGACAATCTACCCTTCTGTGAATGAACAAGATTCCACTCTAGGACGGCCACTTCTTCTTGGATATTTTGAGGTCATAATATTCCCTGATCACAGAAGCCAATGCAGGACTAGAGTACCAACCATATATGTTATAGAAGTTTTGAATATAGTGTATTTTTACCTAGAGAACTTTGACACACTTTTATTATCATGGTCACTGAGTCATATTTTAATTGTTTATGCTCCTGCATTTCTCCTATACTCTGCTGAATATTTTCTAAATGTTTGGTAATATTGCCAAGTTGATAAAAATTTGCCTAAGAAAATTAATCAATCAAAAGATCTTCTGTAGACATATTTTACTCTCCAATATGTGTTCTTTATGACAACCATCATTTCCCTAATGTAGCATATGGTTTTATAATTGTATCTTCCTGGAGAATGAAACACTTTATCATTATATAATTGTCTTAGTCCATTTGTGAAAATATAACAGAATGCCTGAGATGAGGTACTTTATAATAAACAGAATTTTATTGGAAACTGAACAGTCTTCCATTGAAGGGTCAGCATCAGGTAAGAGTGTTCAAGTTATGTCATCACATGGAAGAAGGTGACAAAGTAAGAGAGAGGGAACTAAAAAGAAGGGAGGTGAATAGATAGAGGAAGAAAACCAATAATGAGATAACAAAACTACTTCCATAATAAGGGCATTAATCCATTCATCATGGTGGATCCCTCATGATTTAATCACCTCCTAAATGTTCTATTTCATAATAACTTTGCAGTGACAAATTTCAACATAACTTCTGGAGGATTCAAATTTTGAAACCATGACAAGGCAGCAATCTCTCTCATTATTGCTAATAGTTTTGCTTGTTCCAAAGTGTGTGTGTGTGTGTGTGTGTGTGTGTGTGTGTGTGTGTGTTTTCTGGAATTCATGTAGCTATACCAGATTTCTTTTGATTATTTTTTTTCTGGAGTGTCTTATTCTACCCCTATGGTTTGACTTATCTGAGTCTTAATATTAAAAATGGGCATCCTGTGTTTAGTACAATCTGAAGATCTCTTTTAACTAGTTTGCTAAGCAAACTAATAATAGTTACTTATTTAAAGTAACTATTGATAGAACTTAGTTAAAGTCAGTTATCTTTCTAGATGATTACTATTTATCAATCTGCTCATTGTTTCTTTTTTTGTCTTATCTGGCATTAAGTACACATTTTTATGATTCAAATTCATATCCTCTATTTTTCATTCAATTTTTTTTGCTTTTGTAAAGTCTTGAGTAAGATACTTTTATAATTTTGATATTTA